TAGATTTCCTTTTCCTGTTCAACCACTGGCGAAGATTTGTTGCACAAGTGTTGCAGCATATGCGTGGGGCCCACCTCTTGTCCTGATCTCCAATTTTGCAGCCAAAATAAAGGTGATAGGCTTTCTTAACCATAGTGGTTATACTGCGCTTTTGTGAGGCAAAAGTCACTTCACCACAAACATAGCAGAAGTTATCTGCACTGTTCACACAAGTACGAGGCATCTCTGCTCACTTTGGCTAAACAGAAATGTGTCCCTTTGCAAAATCAAACACTGACAAATAAGAGAGCACGACACTGTATGATTTCTAGAGCTGATATAGGGCAATTTGTTCAGCAGAGTGATGTAAGCTTCGTTATGATTGCATCATCCAGGACTTCTAGGAATAACATGAATTCTAGCAATTCATATCATGTATGACGCAATACCAGCTTCAGATTGCATCATTCATTGTTTTGCCTAAAAAGCAAGTACTGTCCAAACCCAGTCATAGATTTATTCATAGATCCAGTCAAAGATGTATTTTAGTCATTTCTGGTTTAAATTGAGATCCCTTCCCTTTATAACTCACTTATCCTCCGCCATTCCCAAGTCAAGGGTCGTATATACGGACCCAATAGCATATCTTGAAAACTAGAGCCAATCAACAATTTTAAGCATCATTTTCGTTCTCAGTGACCCAGAATTAGTAAAGTTTGACTACATTTATTTCAGAAGCATTTTGGCTGTAGAGCAGTGCAATCACCAGAAAAGTGCGCGAACTGATTGCCCGCCGGCGCTTTCACGGAGGGAGGGCGGGAGTGAGGGTTGAATGACGACAGTTACCCAAAACCACCCTCGACACATTTTTTTCCCCAGCACGCATTGAGGGCTCGACCCAGAATACCAATGGGCAGCGGGGACTGTAACTGTGGGATAGCTGCCCACAGTGCACCGCTTCCAATGTCGACGCTTGCCCCGTTAGTGTGGACTCACAAAGTCGAATTACTGTCCTTAGTGTGGATACACACGTTCGACTTTGTAATATCGGTTCCACAAATTCGCTTTAAGTAAAATCAAACTACTCTCGTAGTGTAGACATACCCTTAGACATTTTTCAATAAGCAGATCCAAGTAACTTGCATCCAAGAATCTTAAGAGCTAGCTGAGGAACACACTGGACTATTGATTTTTCAATAAGTCTTGGAACAGTGGGAAATTTCCAGGAGACTGGAAGAAAGCAAATGGTTTGCCAATTTTTAAAAAGGATAAATGGGATGACCTGGGAAATTATGGCCTGTCAGTCTAACATCAATCCCAAGTAAGAAATACGGGACTTGATTCATATATAATTAAAAGAGGGTAATGTAATTAATGTAAATCAAATTAGCTATCACATGTCATTTTGATTAAAAAACTAGAATGATATAAAATGAACATGGCACACATTAAATAGATTAAAAACTGGCTAACTGATTGGTTTCAGAATGTAATTGTAAACAGGGAATCGTCATTAAGCAGGTTTTTTTCTAGTGGGGTCCAGAGGGATAGGTTCTTGGGCCTACGCTATTTATCATTTTATCAGTGACATGGAAGACAACATACTATCATAATTAATAAAGTTTTCAGATGATACAAACATTGGGGGAGTGGTAAATAATGAAGAGAACATGTCACTGATTCAGAGACAAATGCAAAGTACTACACTTAGGAAAGTAAAATCAAATGCATAACTACAAAATGGGGGAAAACTGGTAGTACCACTGAAAAGGATCTGGGGGTTATAGCGGATCACAAACTGAATATGAGTGAACAGTGTGATGCAGTTTTGAAAAGGCTAATATAATTTGGGTTTATTAATAGGAGTGTCATATGTAAGACCTGTGAGGTAACTATCCTGCTCTACAGGTGAGGCCTTAGCTGGAATAAAAACCTGATTATGAGAAAATGTTAAAAAATCGGGATTTGTTTAGTCTTGAGAAAGGAAGACTGGAGGGGAGGGGGAATTTCATAAGGGTCTTCAAACATGTTAAGGGCTGTTATAAAGAAGACAGTGATCAATTGTTTTCCATGCCCACTCAGGATGGGACAAATAGTAATAGACTTAATCAGCAAGAAGGGAGATTTAGGTTAGAATTAGAAAAAACATTTCTTCTAACGCGAAGGATAATTAAGTACTGGAATAGGCTTCCAATGGAGGTTGTGGAGGTTTTTAGGAACAGATTGGACAAAGGGATGATCTAGGCATAGTTGGTCTTGCCTCAGCCCACGATGCTGGAGTAGATGATCTCTTGAGTTTCCTTCCAGCTCTATATTGTATGATTTCTATTGGGTTTGATGGGGTTACTCACATGTGTAAGTGTTTGCAAAATTAGGGCCTACATCTTTAAGTAGACTAAATCATCTTAGTTATTTGGGGGTTTTTAACTATGATTTTAAAACAGTCAAACCTCTCTGACACAAACAACTTTCATGGCAAGCTGCTAACACCTCCATTTCTTGAATTGAGTTTCACGTTACAATGATGCTGTGACAACGTGACTAAGTCTATGGGAGACATCATAATGAAGTCCAAGTGAAATAATATTGGGGCAATCTCTGGTTATGACATGACATATCGAGCCAAAAGGAAACAATGACAATACTGTAAAAATAAAAATAACATTTTTATGTCAAGACAATGGCAACATAATAACAATGCACAAGAAAGCCTATCAAGGTCATTTTACTCCTTCTGAATTGTGGCAGCACCCATAGATTGCTCTCATTACATTTAGGCACTGAAATCATACAGTAGAATTCTACATCTAACTAGTGTTCCTCAACACTCGGTCATGTTATATGCCTATGGGGAAAATATTTACTTTGCTAATAATAGCCAAGTACCTGGGGAAGGAGAAGTATTTCACATAGCCCTTATATTAATACTGCTATCTGCTAAAAATAAAACAGCCCTGTATTAGAAGCACTCAGATAGAGAAACATATATATGCAACAAGCTGAGCAAAAAAAGTTGAATTATAATTGCTGTGGTAATTTCCCCTATCATGCGGTTGCTTTTGTGATTTTTATGTTGCAACTTGAATACTTTATAAACTTGTTTTCCTCTATAGTGCTAAGAAACAAAGAAAGAGGATATAAACAAGTCTTACAAGTTTAGAAACCTCTTGTTTCTTTAGTGAGTGAATCAAATGTTTGGATCATGCCATTAAGACCTAGAATCTCAACTATTAACATGACAATCAACTGTGCACAGGACCTGCCACTACAATGTCTGGGTATACTATCTACAGCTTAGTAGTGAGAAATAAAAGCCCTGTGGTACAAGATAAATATCCTAGGGTACCAGGTGAAGAAAAGGGTGAATTCAGGTTCAGAAATCTGCCTTCTTTCTGAGAAGAGCAAAGATGGATGATATTGAAGAAGAGTCAGGAGTTCTGATGCTAAGTTCAAGTGACACAAAAACTAAAAGAACCGTGTCCAAGCTATACCCCTGTCTTGATGCATTTTCTCAAAGGCTGGAGAGAAAGCAAACAGGAATGAGTTTCTCCAAAAGAAATGTATCATTTGAAATGAAGGGCTTGGGTATGCTTTGAAGGAAAAAAAGAGAAAAGATAATTTGCTAATAAAGTAAAGATACTACCATGGAGAGAAAAAATAACCCACATAAATCAACCATCTGCTTAAGAAGAGACCACCAAGAAGCCTTAAGCAAATATATTTAGAACTTCTTTAGAAATCAAGATGATACTGATGGATTGAACAAAAGTCAATGAAACAAACACCAATACTCATAGGTTCTACAGAAAATCCAGCAACCTACCAAACACGTAAACATTATTTCAACTGTGGGGGATACAGGAAACATTAACCAAAGACAGGAAAGAAGGCAGATATTGTTGTTAAGGCACTCAGGAGATCTGGGCTCTATTCCTGGCTCTATCACACACTTCCTATCTAACCTTGGACAAGTTACTCTACATCTCCAGGCTGCAGTTCCATATCTGTAAAATGGGCATAATAATTCTTTCTTCCAGTCTTTTCAGAATTGTCTATTTAAATTACATGCTCCTTTGGGCAGGGACTATCTCTTGCTATGTGTATGTACAGTGACTAGCCCAATGGAGCGTCTGTTTCAGTTGCATCACTAAGGACTATGATAACACAAATAAATGAATAATAAATCATTGGTATTCCTAGGTCTTAAAGCCCAAGCCTTTTTTGAACAGTAAATTATTTCTGAAAATACTCTGACAGTCCTAATAATTCATGGCCACCAAATATGTATAACTGGAGCCACTTTCTCTTGAACGATTGTGAGAAGTGGCCATAGAGGCCAAAAACACAACTTTCAACTGTAACTTGACAAGAATACGAAGTCTTCCATGTGATCAGCACACTGCAGTTTGGGGCAATTCTTTAACAGCAGTATTTGTTGACAAAAAAATTTCCTCCCCAAAGATTTTGGGATACCCAAAAGCAGACTGTAAGCTTTTTGGGGCAGGAACTGGATGAGGTCCTGATGGTGACTGGGCTTCAAAAATGCTAATGGAATCCAAATATTAAATAATAATATGTAATTAATAACAACTCTTTGCCCATTAATTTTTGCTCCTAAATCAAAACCCAAGAATCAGACTTTAGCTTACAATTCCAGTATTTTTTTAAAGTAAAACAGCTTTACATAAATGAAAATTATAAGATACTTATATTAAAATTACTGCATGCATTCTCTGTTTGGAAAATATAAACAGCTTTTGTAAACATGCTTCTACATGTTATATTGATATTACGTAGTATTACAGTTTAAGGTCACAATACAGGAAAACACTTAACCACATGCTTAAGTTCATCTTTGTTCGGCTTAAGTGCCTTCCTGAATTGGGGCATGCATCATTATTAGTGTATTCATTCACACAATTTATTAATGTTTTCATGAGTTACTTAGATTGACAAAGCTAGGCATTATTATGGCTAAGTATCTCAGAATTAAACATAATATAATATATTAGCTATCTTACCAGCAGTAGTCCAGAAGGTGTGGAGGAAGCACTGGGATGTATATGTGTTGCCAATACATTGGATATAACAATGCAGCTGACCCATGAACACAAGCAGTTAACTGAAAATAAAAATATATACACAGAATTGACAACAACAAAATTTTAACACAAAGAAAGTACAAAATTTAAAATGAAATGTTTATATTTTTAAAGTCTCAATTGCATGAAAAAATGTTTAAATGTAGCATTGTTAATATTATTTTCAATTGTTAAGATGTTAGAGTTTAGGGCTAGAACGGACCACCAGATCATCCAGTCTGGCCTCCTGAATATCACAGGCCATCAACACCACCCAGCACTCACACACTAAACCCAAAAACCAACATTAGACCAAAGTATTATAAACCATCATAACCTCTGAACACAGACTCATAGACTTTAAGGCCAGAAGGGACCATCATGATCACCTAGTCTGATCTCCTGCATATTGCAGGCCACAGAATCTCACTACAGTAGGCCCTTAACCTCTGGCTGGGCTACTGACATCCTCAAATCTGGATTTAAAGACTTCAAGTGTACAAACATTTACAAAATGATAAACTGACACAATTTGAAAAGGATGCCCCTAATAGTTATCCCTCCTAAGCCATCCTCCCTCAAAAAAAAAAAAAAAAAAAGCCTGAGCAAACAGATGTACTTGCATCATGCCTGCAAACTCAGATATGTCAGAGTAACATCAGAAATGAATCCTACACTTTATTTATTTTGATTTTTTTTTAATCCCCATTAATAGGCCATACAAAGGATAGCCACCCAAGAGCATAACAAGCCCACCGCATGCCCCAAAATTGAAATAGTTTTCCAGCCAATAATTTAAAGAGCCAAATACCCAAACCTTCTGCCTTCCACAGAAGTCTTAGCAAACAAATATTCTTTGTCTTTGGGAAAATGATACAATTTCCTGCAAATCACCCTTGGTAATCTTAGATAAAAGACCTGAGCCACAAAAGAGAAGCTCCCTCTACTCCTGTAACTCAACACCACATCATGATCAACAGTGTCAAAGGTACAAGACAGATCGGGTATCATCATCGTGGACATTTGGGACCAGAGGCGTAGCGAGCGCCCTCCGTACCCTCCGACCGGAGGGGGCCCCACAAGGAAGGGGGCCCCTAAAAGTGGCAAAATAAATACCGCATTCCAGTTTCTGCATTGTAAGGGGCCCCGCCCGGACATATGTTCGGAGGGGGCCACGTTCTTTGTTGCTACGGCCCTGTTTGGGACTCAAGTGAACTTGCACAACATTCCATTCATCTGAGAAGGAGCATAAGTAACTTTCAGACACTATTCCTAAGGGCTGAACTAAATTCTCCGTAGTCTTTCTCTGTCTTCATCTCTCAACAACTTTTGAAAAAAAGAGTCCAGTAAATCAGGATACTTCAAATTATATGAGACCAGCTTTGTCACCTTTTCAAATAACCCCTCCCAAAAAATTTGTGGTGAGAGACAGGACAGAAGTTGACAAGAGATGGTTCCCTGACCAGTAGGTGAACAACTTCTTGTATGAGGCAAGCTAGCACCTTAGTCTCCTGTAATGAGATGTTAGTCTCCACTAATATTGGTCCCAGCCACCCAGTTTGTTTTACCATTCATGAGGTGCTATCTTGCAGGCTGTATGCCACAGATCCTTACCTGGAGGACCTAACTCTACACATTATTGTGAATAAAACCATTTGAAACAACCAATAATTACTTTGCATTTGCTCTCCCATACCGGGCCCTCCTACCATGAAGACAGATAAACTGGACTGAATCTGGTTGATTTTATTCATAAAATAGGTGGGAAATTGCACAAAATGAGAAAATATCAACATTGTTTCCAAACAGAGGTAGCCCAGATCCAGCACATGAGACATCACCAAGAACACAATCCTACTGATCTGAAGTTCTCAGATGGAGTAAAAGAAAGGAAGGGAGGGGGGAGGAAACACCTTTCCTATGCATAGGATTTCAGAAACCCAGCCATATAATAGGACTCAAAATCTTATCTTTTTAGTTCCACTACTGGTGCTACAATTGCCTTCTCTGGTACTTGATTTGCCACAGATAATCCGATGGTGATCTATGATAATAGCACAGACAGAAGGAGGTTTAGAAGCCACCTTGTTTATGGAAGAAGACAAAAGATGGTTATAATGTCTTATTAGGTCATCGATAAAGTGACTATCCAATATTGACTTAATTAGTACTGGTCTTTATTAAGCATGCATTTCTACTGTAGCAAATGTAAGAGCTAAAAAATGTGGATCCTGCTAGTACAGTCCTGAAATGTTATGGATTTTATAGGGGAAATCTCTTCGTGGAACAAAGCAGCAATTAAAGCTTTAGCATCCTGGGTATCTTGGACAGTTATACTTGTTTATAAAAATTATAGAACAATTTTGCATATACACTTTTATAATAAAAATGGAAAAAATAATTATAAGAGCATCTTGGCAGAAATCACAGACAATTACAATTTGTGCAGCACAGTTTGCTCATCACTCAGATTAATATAATACGATTAAATATGGAAAAAAAGAGGGTCTGAAAGCTCCTGAGGGATATCATTAGGGCAAATTGCCAAAGAATGAAACATGAGCCAGTCAGGAGAGTCTGGAAACTGCAATAATACCAAGGGACTTGAATGTTCGACAGTTGGAGCTTCAGTAATGTGTGAACTGCAGGTTACGGTATCAAGAGACTCTGTTCACTGACACATAGAATGTCACTATTGACCAACGAACTGCCCAAGCTTGACAGCTATACTACAGGAAGCCAAGTATATCATAATTCCATATTTAAACTGTTCATTTCAGATTAACATTTTGTTTCTTAGCTTTATGTCAAACAACTACAATTGTACTGTTTTTGGCATTAAGGCAATGTCCAATTTAATAATTATTGCTTTGTTACAAAGAGTTAATTATTCATTTATCTTTTGGCAAATGAAGATCCTTCCTTTCTCTCCTGCACTCATTATTATTTGTTGGATTTATCTAGGATTGCTTTCCTTAACATTTTAAGTAATATTCTTGAAGCTGTACAACAAATTCAGTACTGTTTTTAAGTATTTTATACAAAACGAATGTGGATTCACAAATTAAAATATTTATATTATATTTTGTACTTCAAGCCAAACTGTCCATATAAAAATTATTGTTGCAGACATTTCAATCACAGACTGAAATAAAGCAAAGTGTTGGTTAGAAGATTTCCAAAATTTAGATAAAGATCTCTTCATCTAGTTAATGAAGCTGTGTTAATCAAGAGTCTAAAATTGTATATCTTATATTTACACATACACAAAAATAGATACATGCACACAAGCATTTCTATTTATAGTTATGCAAAAAATTGAAAAATGTGCATTATGTTTTGGTTTGCGCTCATTACCAAAGCAATCTAGGAAATGAATAATTACACTACACAAGATATTTAAAGTTCTATAATTGGTCTTTACTACTTTGCAATCCACATTTTGGGCTGACATTCAGAAGATAAAAATGTTAAATTAATGCATAATATGACTTTACTCTTTTCTAGCAGTGAAAGTATGGACTTAACTGGTTTATTCATTTAATGAAGTTCATTATATTTCTCCTTACATTTTGTACTTAATACACCAAAAGTGTATTGTTTTAACATTTCCATCTATTCCTTAAACAAGAGTAAGTGGATTTATAAACATACCACTGGGAGGTATATAAATATTTAGTGTGCATTCTAACTTTTAATGAAATTTGGTAATTTAAGCATTTATGGGACAAAGATGCTTTTCATCTGAATGACACTGAATACTGTGTCAACTCTACATTTGTGAAGTGATAACTGTGGCCTTTGTGTCATGAAAGAATTTTGCACTTTTATCTTGATATTTTATTTTGCTTTTGGTTTACCTTGTGATTTTACTTTTTCAAAAAATTACAAACTATAATGTTATTTCCCAAATGCATTAACCATCTAAATAACTGCACCTTAATATTTGTAGTATTCCCCCCACTAGGTGCAGGAAAATATAGGAGATTCTGTAGATATTGGGATAAAACTATCTTTAGCTTTAAATAACCAGATATTTAAGGAAAAATTGAAAAATATTTAAGGAAAAATTGAAAAATATTTAAGGGACATTCTATACTTGATCATTTGACCGCTTATGAACTCGGCAGTTTATAAGTCCACTATTTCATGCAGTGGGATTCAGGAGAAACCTCTGAACGTCTTAGAGGGGAGTGGACACCTGACTCTAGGTTCCAGTGGGGACTGCTAAGGGAGCAATTAATTGGGTATCAAAGAGCTGTTGTTCACAGAACTGCAAGGAATGGTCATATATTACCACCAGAGTGCAGTATTTAGCACGCTGTGGGGAGCTGAGTAAAGAAGGCATGGGGCAGAAAGCGGAGTCTGAGTCCCACGGTGCTGATACAGAGAAAAGTGGTATAGGTAACAATGATTGTGGCTGAAACAAGTAGTGAACAGTGTGGTTTATGTGAGTCCCTGGCAGAATGCAGGATTGTTTTTGCTGTCTGGGGAGAAGAGTGCATTTAACTGGAGACTGCATCCAGACTGAATTCCATTTCTACAGGGATTATTGAGAATTACAAAAGAGAGTGTGGTTCAGATATTTTTCAGGGCAGAAAGCATCTTTAGTAAATTGTCTTGGATTTGTCTCCAAGGTTGTGGCCAGTCCTACCCATCCTGTCAGTTGCTACTGGAGATTACATCAACTGCAAAATCTGATCAATTTCTGCATAAATATTTCCATATATCTGATTTTAGACATGCAAAACAATGCATGCAGAATTTCCCTATTAAACATGTTGGATTGTTGAGGGGATTACTTAGTTTCAGAGTCAGAACTGTCCAGTGCAATATGTAGAAACTGGTATTCCGTTCCCCTGCAAAAACTTGTGGCTTACATCCTTGTCTGGCAAAATTCCTTTTGTAACATGAGATGTTCTGATTGGTACATAATTCTATGGTTTTAAAGAAGATGGAGAAAGTTTGTTGCATGAATTTTGCTAGACCCGACTGTATGATATTTCTATACCAGTATTTGATTTTCTAGGTCTTTAAAGTG